ACAGGACAATGTCGAAAAAGCCAACTTGGACTTCCGGTCAAGATGGCGGCGTAGGGAATCGCAGTATCGCGTTCTCCCACAACCACATCCAAGTTACAACAAAACTACAGAACAACCATCATCCAAAACCGCCTGAAATCAAGCTGAATGGAAGTCCTACAACTACGGAATTAAAAAAAAAAGGCAGCGACATCCAGACTGGTAGGAGGGGCGGCGGCGCGAGGGGTGGCGGCAGCGGCACGGCGGCGGCACGACGGGCTGGTCCCACACCCAAGTGTGGCGGATAAAAATCAGGAGGCTCCCGAGGCTGGGAAGGTCCTTCCTGAAGACTGAGGGGTCCCCGTCCCACACCAGGTGCTCCGCTCAGGTTTCCAGTGCCAGGAAGAGAAGTCCCCATAACTTCTGGCTGGAAAAACCAGCGGGAACTGAGGCTCAGGGAAGCTGACCTGGCTGGAGCCACAAGCAGCTCCTTAAAGGGCCCGCGCACGGACTTGTCGGACTCTCTCCCTCTAAGCTCGGAGGGGAGGCAGCTCCAGGGGCACCAGAGAAATACAGGGAGGAACTGAGCTGTTTGGCACTGGAGCGAGGGCTGGAGAGGGGGCTTTCTCGGGGACAAACGTGCTGTCAGAGGCCTTTGTTCCTTTGGTGAGCCCTTCCCTGGGGCGGCAGACAGTGGCCATATCTGGGACTCCAGCAACCTGGCTCACACTGGTAGCCCCGCCCTGCTGACTCCCTGAGGCCCCGCCCCACCCAACTTTTAGGCTCACCCAAGCTGTTGCTACTTGCTTAACCATAGGATTGGCCTGTCTTGGATCCTGCTTCAGGTTTTTCCTAAATTCTTTCAAACGAGCAGCATCGGGTCTCAGCGAGCCCCATACCTCTCGTTAAGTAATACACAGAAACAAACACAGGGAGGCAGCAAAATGAGGATACAAAGAAACAGGTCCCAAATGAAAGAACAGAACAAAACCCCAAGAAAAGAACTAAGCGAAATGGAGATAAGCAACCTAACAGATGCTGAGTTCAAAATACTGCTTATAAGGATGCTCAATGAACTCAGTGAGGGCCTCAAGAGCATAAAAAAGTACCAGTCAGAAACGATCGCTGCACAGTTAGAAACGAAGGAGGCTTTAACTGAAATAAAGAATAATTTACATAGCTTCAATAATAGAGTACGTAAATCCAAGGAGCAAACCATCGATTTGGAATATAAGGAAGCAAAAAACGCCCAACCAGAACAGCAAAAAGAAAAAAGAATCCAAAAAAATGAGGATAGTGTAAGGAGCCTCTGGGACAACTTCAAGCGTGCCAAAATTCGCATCTTGGGGGTGCCGGAAGGAGAAGAGAGAGAACAAGAAATCGAAAACCTGTTTGAAACAATAATGGCAGAAAACTTTCCTAACTTGGTGAAGGAAACAGACATACAAGTCCAGGAAGCACAGAGAGTCCCAAACAAGATGAACCCCAAGAGGCCCACACCAAGACACATCATCATCAAAATGCAAAAGGTTCAAGACAAAGAGAGAATCCTAAAAGCAGCAAGAGAAAGGCAGCTAGTTACCTACAAGGGAGTTCCCATTAGGCTGTCAGCTGATTTCTCAAAAGAAACTTTGCAGGCCAGAAGGGAGTGGCAAGAAATATTCAGAGTGATGAAAACCAAGAACCTTCAACCAAAATTACTCTATCCTGCAAAGCTGTCATTTAGAATCGATGGACATATAAAAACTTTCCCAGACAAGAAAAAGCTAAAGGAGTTCATTACTACCAAACCGTTATTATATGAAATGATGAAGGGTCTTTTTAAAGAAAAAGATAAAATGTAGGAACAAACAAAATGGCAATGAATACATATCTATCAACAATGGAATCTACAAACAAAATGAACAGGAAGAACAGGACATTCTCATAGATACAGAGAATATTTTGTTGGTTGCCAGTTGGGAAAGGGGTTGGGGGAATGGATGAAAAAGGTGAAGGGATTAAGAAGCACAAATTCATTGCTAGACTGACAAACCTCAAAGGGAAAGGGGTTGGGGGGGTGGGAAGAAATAAACCAAAGAACTTATAGGCATAACCAATGGACACGGACAATAGTATGGGAAAAGGTGGGAGGGGGGCGGGAGTGGGGAGGAGGGGGTCAATGGGGGAAAACTGTGGAACATCTGTAATACATTTTACATCCAACAATAAAGATGTGGAAAAAAATATATATATATATATGTAAAAAAAAAAAAGAAAAAGCCAACTTGGAAGGATTATGCATTTCCAATTTTTCATTTCAACTACACCAGCCTCACACATCCGAGACCAACCACATGGACCTTCTCTCATCTTCCAGAAATGCTCCAACTCTGCAAACTCCAACTCCAACATTAAATTTCTGATCACAAACAACTCTATCAGTCCCTAACTAGTCCAGCACTAGTCCTATGAGCCGTATAGAGCCTAAGAACCTTCCTTTGGAACACTTCCTCACAGTATTTCCTGGCTGATATCCTCAACCTTTATCCTTTAGCGGCACTCACATAGCAATAGCCTAACCTGGACTTAGTGACTGTCCATCCCTCTTCCCCAGTGTCAGGTTCCACAGGATTCTCTATCTCACCTTCTGTCCTATAGTCTAGAGAAGATTTGTCAGAACAATTATGACATCATTTACCTCTTTACATACAGGGCAGTAAGTGTAAATGCTTCAGGTAAGTGAAAGTAACATAAGGACTGAAAGGTAGGCTGAATTTGGCAATGAGGGTGATTAGATTCCCAACTGGCAAAATGCACGTAGGATCTGCCCCATTGCCATAGTAGCCTCAAGTGACAGCATCAGTTGAAAAGGTCTTTTGTTAGCCCTGGCCGGTTTGGTTCAGCGGTTAGAGCGTCAGCCTGCAGTCCTGAGAGACCCGGGTTCGATTTCCGCTAAGGGCGCGTACCTCGGTTGCAGTTTGTCCCCGGCCCTGGTCGGCTGTGCGGGTGGCAGCCACTCGATGTGTTCCTTTCACATCGATGTTTCTCTCTCTCTCTCTCTGTTTCTCTCCCTCCCTCCCACTCTACCTGAACAAAAATTGGAAAAATGTCCTCGGGTGAGGATAAAAAAAGAAAAGGTCTTTTGTTATACATAATGATAATTTACCAAGGGGAAATAACAAAAAGCTCTTGTTTCTACTCTTTCGAAAACCTTTTCCTTAAGGATTTCCTGATGTTTTTGAGTGAGTTGGACATAAGCCTCCACCCTTATCTTAAAGAATGAGAAGTTAAGCATTCACTTATTACTGACAGCATGGCTGTTACCCTGGCCTTGGAGTGGCAGTAACAGACCATTGGCCCTGTTATTTAATTTCTGCCAGAAGAAAGGATTATGGATTAGTTGGTCTCATATTTTCTGGTAGAGAGCCCTCTCTAACTCGTAAAATCTCATATAAGTGACCATATTTAGATATCTGAGTAGGCATTACTTGTATCAGTTTATCTTGGAGGGCATAACAGGAAGTCACATTGCTCAAACTAAGTGCTTCATTGAGACAGTTTTCTGTCTGAGGTGGGCATTTGGCTATCATCGCTTTACATTTTTTCTAAGCTACAATTCACAACATAGAACATCATCTTGGGGGTATTATCATTCATCCACATATAAAAGCTGTCCCTAAAACACTTTCCAATTACAATTTTACTGCTGCTAGTGAGAATACTGTCAGATCGCCTGGAAGGTAAGCATACAGGTACCATCTTTATCGGGCCCCTCGGTTTTCATAAGAGCACGCTGATACAATCCAGAGTTCCATGGTTGGTCAATGCCTACAGCTCTGCACTACTTGGTAGGTGAGAAGAGGTACCTATCCAAGAGGATAATCTCAACTCCACTACTCTACTATTTTACTCTTTTCAGATGCTCTCCTGAGAGAAAAACATTTATGAAAGCATCCCTGAGAATCTATTCATTCTACTATATCACTGGATCTTAAGCTATGCCATAGTTTCATTGAATAATTTAACAAGTTATGAATTCTCTCCATACCAAACACAAAGCAAAATACAATTTGGGGAGGCGGGAAGGAAGACAATCATGAGAGCCCTGAAGTTAATCCATGGGCTGAAGTCTAAAAAGTTCTGCTCTATAAACTCTAAAATCTATCCCTGAATTCAGCAAGGCCTCTGGAGCATCATATAGATGGAAGCGTCACACTGGCTTTGCACTGAAATGCTTATTCTCAGCTGTGCACTTGCACATATCCACTTGCTTTTGCTGAGGTACACTAAGAGGGAGAGACTCTGTTTATGGTAAAAATGATGGGACTGTGTTCATATACACAGGCTTCTTTTCCTGAGGACCTAGGGGAGACTTCTGCCTCTCTAGTCACAGCTCTGCTCCTCTTGAGCATCAAGCTCTTTTTTTAAACTCATGGAAATGGACAGTTTATAACAGTCTTATGTTTCTTTCCCTGTGGCTGCTGGAAAATCAATGGCATACTTCTAGCATGCATGTAAGTCCCACTCCATTTGATTGTAACTGTCCTTTGTCTTCTTTTCATCATAGTTTTAATTTGTTCTATTTTGCTATGTTGTATAGAAAATCCTGATACATTTTAGAAGACAGTGAGCTAGAAATGAGTTAAATTGTAGGAGACAGAAGCAAAAAAGACATCTTTTCCACCTGCGTTCCCACTGGTTATCTATTCAAGTGTATCTATCTAAATGATTTCCTAAAATACTCTTGTTATTTGTGGGGGGCGGGGGTCAGTGAGAGTTGCAAGTATTTGAGAAAGGTAGTACTTGTTCAGAAAACTCATATTGCAAGGATATTTTAGAATTCTCCTTGATAAACATAACGTGTGTATATATGTTTGCACCTACATGTGTGTTTTTAAAGTAACCATAAAGATGAAATAGGGTTTTCATATAGACTTCTGCACAGAACTATAGTAAAACTTGGATTGTATTTCTCAGTGATTTGCTGCTTCAGTTAGAAGTGTCTTATATTTCTGCAACAGTGAAGCACAAATGCTTACAGGCACGTGAACTTTTCGAAACATCTCAGCTCCCTTGTGTGCATCCATCAGCGCAATGTCCTGGGGCGTGGAGACAATCACAGCACCTAACCAAAAGAAAACAAAAGGACAGCAAAATAATAATATCATTATTTCTTTATGGAAAGGTTGCTTCCAAAATTATGTCACTTACAAGCTAAAAGAATCTTACTATATTAACTACTTACGTAATTTGTATAAATTTTACATACATAAATGGGAAAAATGAGGAAATGACTACTTTTCTTTTGCCAATTTTGACTCTTCATGTCTAAAATTACAACAGCCTGACCAGTGATTCAAGATCGCAGCTGTACCATCAAACCTCCTTCCCATTCAGACACCCTGCTATTTGGAAGATGCACAGGCCAGCTTACTTTCAAGAATCTAATAGTCTACTTAGGAAAACCGAAAAATTAAGGATTACAACACAGTGTGCTAAGCATTATAGCAGAGGTATGCTTAAACTGCTATGGAATTCTAAAGGAGGAATAAAGAAAAAAATAACTAATTAAATCTAGGGGAGGAAGAGGGAAGGTGATCATGGATGGGGTGAGGAAGCAGGAGATAAGGAGACACGGTAGAGGAAAGTTTCCAGAGAGAGGTGATTCCAAAGCCTAGTTCTAAAGGTTTGTATTACAGAAAACTCACCATTGTGGGGAATAATTTAGTGGGGGCAAAACTAGGTGTTGAGCAAAAATTCAGCTGCAAAATCATGATGGCCTAAACCAAAGCTGCACTGAAAGTAGGTGAAGATGGAGGCGTTCCTGGGTCCCCACTGTTACACTGCAGAAATCAGGTGGTTCTATGCTATAGTGCTTTGAGAGAAAGTGCAAGGCAATTTTTTTCTTTAAGTGGAATCACCAGGGGCCTGGCTATGACTTGCTGAGTCTGTGAATTTCTTAAATTTTGTGGTTTCTTCTTGATGCTAATCTGAAAAATAATTAACACAAGCATATTCTAGAGCACCTGGATAAGCCTCGTCCTATAAATACACACTGCCATGACATTTCGGAGCCCCAAACCACCAAATTGGCTCCAAGAAGCAGCAGTTCATCATAGCTAATGAAAACAGAGGTATGATTAACAATAAATAACAGTGCACCAAGTGAAAGTCAAATGATACTAGACTACTGTCTGAAGAGCTATTTTAAAGAAGTCAGAATAGAGAAAAGTGGCAGCAGAACCAAGTTACCACAAAGCATGTGGCAATATAGGCATGCCAGACCCGAAAGACCTATGCAGTGGCCACAAATTCATCTAGCAGTTGGTCTTTTCATTTCAGTAAACACTTCATCTTTCACATAAAGTTAACATCATTAATTTGAATGTTATTGATTTTTTAAGTTCTACTTGTATTAAATCTGCAATTTTTTAAAGTTTAAAAAAATTATATAAGAGCTATAAGCTTAAGGAATTTATGTTTACACCTAGTTAAATAGCCTTACAATAAAAATAAGTCAATACGGGGTATAAAGCAGATTGTTTTTCCTTTAGAAGGAGGGTCTATTCATTACTCAAGTTAGAGAAACACTAGCCTTGGAATTCACACATAATCAATTCAAACTTTTTATTCCATAGCCAACTACCTGTGTGACTAGGGCAAGAAACAGATTGAGTTTATCTACAAAACAGCATAGTAATACTTAGGTCGTAAGATGCTTGACAGATGCTTGGACAAAGGGTAAACATTCAATAATGGTAGCTGTTGTTAATAATATAATCATTATTATCGTTACCAATAAAATGTCTTACAAGTTGTTGAGAAGGCCATTTTCATATTTGTCATCAGGCAGCTCATCCTACTTTTCAAACTGTTCCATGGATCACTAACTACATCCTTCTATTTTGATTTGCTCTGCCCAAGAAACCAAAAACTAGTCAAAATTCTCTTTCCATTCTTTTAAAGATGGATGGAAATCACATCTCTGCAAAAATTATACTCAAATCTACTCTACACATCCAATATATTTCCACAATTCACCACCTTCTGTTACTAATCTATTTCGGTGCTTTTTTTCTTATCCAGGCATTTGGAAGGGATCTAATTCCAATTCTACTCCCATCTAGTCGTGTGACTAACCTTGGGCAAGTAACTCAGAACTGCTCTAAGTCTCAGTTTCCTTAGCTGTGAAATTAATGCAAGGACCACATAGTCTCCAAGGTCTCAGCTAGCTCTCTGATGATATGATTTAGCGTTCCTTCTTAACTAGAGTTTCTAAAACCATCCCTCTTCAACCTGATTGCCTCAGTAAACTTAAAATTTAAATGAATGTGAAATGCAACCTCCCCCAAGAATTATGGCCCCTCAATCTCAGAGCCATTCTCTTTAATGTAAACGAAACCCCCCTTGGCTATTTCCTCCAAATTTTCTCCTTAATTATATACTAGTATACAGGGAGTTTTCTATTACATTAGCCCTAAAAAATAGCTTTAGCTTTTATACGATATAAACATTTTATTGTTTTAAATATCCTTTGGCTGCTACACAATACAGTTTCATGACCAGTTATGATTTTTCTTCTTCTTCTTCTTCTTATTTTTTTATCCTCACCCGAGGACATTTTTCCATTTTTTTGTTCAGGTAGAGTGGGAGGGAGAGAGAGGAACAGAGAGAGAGAGAGAGAAACATCGATGTGAAAGGAACACATCGAGTGGCTGCCACCTGCACAACCGACCAGGGCCGGGGACAAACTGCAACCGAGGTACGCGCCCTTAGCGGGAAACGAACCCCGGTCTCTCGGGACCGCAGGCCGACACTCTAACCGCTAAGCCAAACCGGCCAGGGCGATTTTTCTTATTATTTTAATCAAACAAATCTAATGACATAATGACTTGCACAAAACAGGCACTTTACAAAGGATCAGCGATTTAAACAGTCTCTGTATTTTCAAATCATCTGACCCAGACTACCACTATATGAACTCAGAATTCCTTGAACTAAGAGTCAAGAGTTCTGGATTTTAGTTTTGTCAACTGTGCTAAAATACTTTATAATTTTAAATAGCTCACTAAATCTCAATAAACTCTTCTATACGACAAACCTATTTCCATTGGTCCTATTTAATTTAAAGAGCTGTTCCATTAAAAACATGTAAAAGTGTTATAAAAATGCCTGGTGACATTATTTTGATAGCTGTAAGATCCTAGAGAGAAGAATTAAAGTGACTTGGTTTTCTCTGTAATACTTAACTCTAACAGTGTCACAAATAAGTATCCACGCCATCTGAGTTTCTTTGTCAAGTAACCCAAACAGCACCATTCATACATCAACTGATAACAACCTTGTGACAAGGACAACAATCATCTTCCATGTCCCATCAAATGCTCACAAAACATGTAAACATTCCATTGGAATTATTAGCCACATCTATAAAAGATTTTTAGTGTAAGATTTTTTTTCCTGAAATATATGCTCGTAACTAAAAACTAAGTCCTTGATCACAATACAATCAGTCTTTAGAACACTGTTCTGAGAACAAATTTTCTAGACTATTTCTTAAAGAACAAAAATATAACTGGCCCATACATAAATCACTACCTCTTTTGTTATACCAAATTTTAATACATCATATAAGTAACCATTTCAGACGGCCCCTACTTTGACCTTTTGAATTTAGGATAAGAAAGCAAACAAACAAACAAACAAAAAAACAAAATCTTCACTAAAATTAAATTTAATGGTTAATCAATCTGTGTATCACAATCCAGATTTTTAAATTTTAAAAAAATTATGTCAAATTTTTCTTGTTAATATATCCCTTAACTTAAAATATCATCTCCAAATATGATATTACATTTTATCTGTATGGTTCTTGGCTTTGTAATTTTTACTTTATAAATTTTAACTTTTCTCAGGGCTCATGGAATATGAACCAATATGAACTAGCTCAGGTTTTCTCCCTTTATGCCATCACTGATGATGTCACCTGTTTTGTGATGGAGGGTTTGTTAGAAAACTTGTGCTCCCTCTACTGACCACCAAGGAATGTCAGTAGCAACAAAGAGAATGTTTAGTTTGCAATAAATGAGATTACTTTCTGGGGGAAAACACAGATGTATCGCAAGATGAATTTTCTATCTGTTTGCTAGGGTAAATGTCTAAGTCCAAACAGTTAAATACTATTGTTTAAATACTATTTCCCAAGTTGTAAATTTTTTAAGGCTTTTTATCAGCTGAGATTTTACTATAAAAGATTAATTTACTAAAAAAAGAATTTTGGCAAATAAACATTCTAAAATATAACTATCTAGAGTATTGCCTTAATTGCTCATTTCTCTTGACTATTAAGAGTAAAATCTATTTATAACTGCATATCTGGATTTGGGTCATAATTCAAAGTAGTTAAACATTTAAAATTGATTATTCCAAATGTTAAAAGTACCGTAATTATTCCAGTGTGGAACCATTCGACGACGCCTTTCTTTCTTTCTTTCTTATTTATTTATTTATTTATTTATTTATTTATTTATTTATTTATTTATTTATTTATTTATTTTTATCCTCACCCAAGGACATTTTTCCATTTTTTGTTCAGACAGAGTGGGAGGGAGAGAGAGAAAAGCATCTACGTGAAAGGGACACATGTAGTGGCTGCCACCCGCACGACCCAACCAGGGCTGGGAGCAAACTGCAACTGAGGTATGTGCCCCTAGCAGGAACCGAACCCGGGTCGTTCTGGACCTCAGGCTGATGCTCTAACCACTGAGCAAAACTGACCAGAGTTTGACGATGCCTTTCTAAGTCTAGAGGGCACAAATTGTATCCTATTGTCATGCTTGACTAAGAACTCTGGTGTTGGAATCTAATAAATATGCACAACAAAAACTGCTTGTAATTATACCGGAATTAGTAATTCTATGTCCTACAACTATTGAGCACATTAAGGTAAAATCAACCAAGATTTAAAGAACAAATTAACTGCTATATAGTTAATGTTCACAGTGCTCCAATATTTAGTGCTCCTGATTCTCCTTAATTCATTTAAGATTGTTGCAGCCAAAGTAAATAATCATTCAACTTCTGTTAGGTTAATATATAAATAATACCAAATATATAATTGTTTAT